GAGGAGGAGGAGACTGGCGGGGAGCAGGGCGGGGGGCGGAAAAGGAAGGGCTGCCCCCCTGCGGGTCGATGCACAGGTTCCTGCCCCCACCCCGCGCGCACACTGCGAGTCCTTAGACGCCGGGCGAACGGGCACGGGGAGGATGCTGGCGCGGAGGCCACAGCACGTGCAGACTTGGCTCATTTGCGAAATTGCCAGGAATTAATTCTTCGTACCGCGGCCTCTGAGCCGAGGCGGGGCCCGGACCTGTTAGGAGGGAGCAGGCGCCCCCCTGGCGGCCGCTTGGGGAACAGACCGCGAGGTGGGGGGTGGGGTGAGAAGGGGCGGTCCCTGCATCCAGCCAGCAGTCCCCGCCGGTGGGGGGCGGGGGGCGGTGGAGGTGTGTGCAGTGGTCTCAGGGGCTCGTGCAAGAAAGGGGGGTGGGTTCTGGTCCCAGCAAAGAGGGTTCGGGCTGGAGGAGCTGCAGGGGTGAGTCAGATCTCCGTGGGCCAGGCCGGGCTCACCTCCTCCCCGACCTGGAGATGTGTGGGGTGAGCGAGGTAGATGGAGGGGAAACTGAAGCCGAGAGCGTGGTGCCCACTTGACGGGGGAAATAGAGCTGCTCAGATTCCCAGGATCCCTTGGGGGGGGTAACCCCTCTTTCTAGTGCCTGCGGGTGGGCAGTGCGGGGATAGTGAGGCCACATTGCTCAGCGATGCTCCACCTGCACCCACGCAGTCACACACCCCTGCACACAGGCCCCCTCTGTATTCCCACCCATGTTGGGGGGGAGGGGCAGAAACCACGTGTTTCCCTCCCGTGGGGCAGCTGCTTGGCTAATGCCCCCCCTACTCAGAACCCTGTGTGACTGTGCACACCCCTGGTCACTCAGTCCAGGGCACAAACCCCCGGTTCTGTGGCAGCAGACGGGCTCGGCCGCGGATGCTCTGACGTTGGGGTGTGGGGCAGGGGCGGATCAGGAAGCAGCCACAGTGGAGGGGGTGCAGCCATCTGGGGTGGCCAGTGAGCCAGTTCAGGATGCAGGTCTCTGCCCTCGTCTCTGCAGAGCTGCCCCCCGGATGGGGATGCTGGGAGATTGATTGATAGGTATTGGAGTTGGGGGAAGGGTGGGTGGGTGGACCTAGACAGGGGACCCGGCCCTGGAGCCTCGCCTGCCTGGGTAGTAAGCGACACTGGGGGAGGGGGAGGCGGGGTGTAAACCTTTTAAAAATATTCATTTTTCATATATATATGTATTTTATTTCAGAAGAAGGGAGAGGGAGAGATGGGAACATCAATGATGAGAGAATCATTGATCGGCTGCCTCTTGCACGCCCCCTACTGGGTGGGGATCGAGCCCACAACCCAGGCATGCGCCCTTGACCGGGATCGAACCCGGGACCCTTCAGTCTGCAGACCTAAGCTCCATCCACTGAGCCAGGGCCCTGGGTGTAGACCTTTGATATTCCCATCTCTCTCCCATGGGTCTGCAGGGAGCTGTGGAGACGGCAAGACAGGCAGGAGTGAGAGAGAAAGAGAGAGAGAGTCGTGCTGAGTAGGAGAGAGAAACATTTATTGGTTGTCTTCCATACATTCCCCGACTAGGGATCAAACCCGCAAACCAGGTATGTGCACTGACTGGGAATCAAACATGCAACCTTTCGGTGCACAGA